AAACATATAAAACCATTTCAAAACCTACAAAAACATGCAGATAAAATCTATGTGAAAGTAAAGAAATAATCAGAATTAAATAAAACACGTTTCTGCTGCTCACCATTTAAAAATATTTTTTATCTCCATGTTTTTTGTGAACACAGGAACAGGTGAATAAAAAAATACTATTTAAAATAACATTTTAAATAGTATTTTAAATAACTGACATGTGTTTTTCTGAAATGTTTGTGTTTGTAAAATTTAGATTAAATGTTTTGGATACATACTGTTTATTTATTTATTTATTTATTTTAATAAAACGAATAAAGAAGCACTACAATACACCGCCACAGGCTAAACTCTTCCAGAGTTACCACAAGGACCTATTTGGTGTGCCACCCCAGAAATTTCTTTGGCCCCATCTGGCCACCCCTATCAAAGTTTTCTGAAGGCACCCCTGTCAGAAACACATGATAATATCACTGTTAATGTTTTTATTTTCTCTTTCCCTGGATGGGTCCACCCTTACCCTTGGACCTGACCAAATAACTACAGCTCTGAGTTCAGCTGCTGGCTTTCTTCTAGTTTGAGTAAACTTGGTTCTGATCCAGACCCAGAGTGGCTTCTTTAATCATGGTGCTGCTGTCTCTCCCTCCAGATCTGACCTTCCTCCATGAGAGCTGTAAGACGTTTCACGGTGAACTTGTGAACTTTGAGAAAATGGTGAGTTGGTTTATGACCTGGGAACAGACTCGGATACTGGATCTCATCTCTGGTCTCTTCCACCAGATTCACCTTCCTGTTTAGAAGTTATTTCATTGCATCGGTTTTCTGCTCTTTGTTTCTTCATCTGAACCAAAAGATGACAGACTGATTTTGTATATCAGCTGAAAGAAATGAATCATCATGGAGCTGGGGACACGGACGTGTGTGTGTCATAAAAATACTCATTATAGTATTATTATTGCGAGTAACTACTTGCTGAGTATTAGCTGTGGTCACAGAGGGAGGAATGAGATGGGTGGGAAGTGAAGGCTGATCGGGGCAGACTAACAAACATGTTTGTTCTTCTACAGCATAAAGTCGCTGAGATGGTAAGAACCATTAGACGATACAGGAGCTCCCAGCTAGGTATGCACACACGCACACACACACACACACACACACGCACGCACACACACGCACACACTCCGTCAGCTCTAACTATTTAATTTTGTTTCCTGGTAGCCATAGATATTGAGACGTCCCCTTCCCACCTCCAGACAAAGGCCTATGTTCGACAGTTACAGGTCATCGACAACCAGAACCTCCTGTTTGACATGTCCTGCAAGCTAGAGCCCAAAGACATGTAGATGGACGGATGGTGGGATGAGGAGGGTCAAAGGTCCAGATCTGCACATCATCCCTTTCTTCTGTCTGACACTTCTGGACAAGAGCAGAAAATTACTACTTCTTCTCACACTAAGACAACAAGAACTGAAAGATTCAAGCTGAACCTAAAACTCTTTATTTCTGTTTGTTCTAAGTAACGTTCCGAGCTCTCCTCATCTGCTGAAGCTGGTTCATCTTCACCAGCTGCTACTTTGCAATCTGGAGCATTCTGGTTTGATCTGGTCTGATCTGGTCCAACAAGACCAGATCTAGCAGATCATATCTAGACAATGACTGGACTGATGGACGACCTAGCCGAGATCGATTAATTCTCCACTCTCACCAGTATGTGGCAGCAGCTGTCACCCACCCTGCCCATGAACGTTTACAGGAAGTGAAATCTAACAGGTTCCGGTTTCTGACTGATTCACTGAAATCTCAACAAATAGCGTGACAGTCCTAGCCTGTTTCAGATGGAAGCTGTGTATCAGGATCTGATCTCTGAGCACGTCAGCCACGTGCCAGCCTCTGAAGCTAGTGTGTCTGGTTTTCCAGATTTGTGCTGCTTTATAGATCCGTTTGCTAACAGAACCAGTCTCTAACAGACTGTTTCAGGCAGAAGCAGCTGAACCGATCGGATCATTGCTCTGAGGTCTGAAGCTTGCTGCAGGTCTCAGTCGGGCTGGTTTGAAACCACTGCAGTTCTAGAAGAACCAGCAGCAGAAATCTGTCGGCGTGAGCTTCGGCGAAGGGGAAGAAAATCACTTTTCCTCCGAAGTGGATCCAACCAACTGTTCTGTAAATGCTTAACCCAGGAGCAAAGAGCCATCGATTCCTTTCTGCATTTCACCTGATGGTGATCCTTTCCAGAACCTGCTGCTGAGACGGACCTCTCTTCAAGTCGACTCTGTAGTTTAACCTTTGACCTTGTGTGAAGGTCAGAGGGACAGACCAGTCCTGGTGGAAGGGCTGTTAGCTGACCTCTAATCTGTGGTTCGTAACTGCTGCCATATTCCACACTTCAGGAACTTCACCTGTACCTCACCTTCTTCTGTGATTCAGTGGCGATGCGTTCACGTACCCAACTCGCTGTTGGTGGTCATCTCACTGTGTTCAGACTCGTGATTGGATGGATGAGAGTATGTAGATGCTGGTTTTCTACCCACCCACCTCAGCTGAAAGACACTTCTGTCTTTGAATTTCCAGACAGTGATGATTGACCTTAAACGTCTCACGGTGTTGGACGATCCAGCGAGATGACTCTTTCAGCCTCTTAAAAGACCAAACTGTGTATTTTCATGTGTTGACACTGAAGCAAACGCCTGAAAATAAAACAGGTGTGGCCTTTTAAGAGAGTCTCAGAATGGTCAGTGATGATAGGTCCACTGATCAGCCAATCACAGAGCCTTTGAGGTCTAACTGCTGTCACACCTGAATGGATAAACCGGTTCACTCCTCCCAAAGCTGGCCTCTCATTGGTCGGTTCAGGGCTCTGAGTGGTCCATGGCAATAACAGGCGACAGGAAGTGAAGCTGTTTTTTTTTTGACTTTTCAATTAAGCACTTTTTGCCAAACCTCAGGGCTCAAAGACACAGAGAGGTTTTGTTTACTCCTCCTTCTGGATTTCTTTAGAGTTCAGTTCAGTCCAGTTGTGTTCCGATTGGTTGTTCCTGTGTTCTTACAGCTGATCGCACTTCAGCCATATTTACTCTAATTATAGAAATCTAGAAAGTTGTTGTTCTTTTATGCTGTGATCACCACCAGGGCTGAGGCCAATCTGATCAAATCAATCAACACAATAAGAATACGATCCGCCATTCCATTTTAAAGGGACTTCAGTACTGGAAAAAGGTGGATTTCATACTGATTGAGGGTGATTGACAGGTGTATCCAGGCAGAACCAGTGTGTCATGGGGAAGAGCTCAGCTGATCTACATTCCCAATCAACTGGTCTCCCCTGAAAACATAAATGAGTTTGCCCTGCTGGGTGGCTGCTGTCAGAGATAGGGATAGATAGAGACAGGGTGAGGAGCTCAGATATCTGGGAGGGACTTGGAGTAGAGCCACAGCTGCTCCATGTTGAGGGGAACCAGCTGAGGTGATTCAGGCATGCTACTGGGAGGAGACTCTGGGTCAACCCAGGACATGCCGGGATTAAATCTCTGCTAGTCTGGGAACACCAGTGGGTGGCTGGGGAGAAGACGGTCTGGATCTCCTTCCTACCCAATGACCCAGATAAGCAGAAGATGATCAAGATGAGCTAAATGTGAAGAAATAGATTAACTGCATTGCTCAATTAGTTTGTTATTGTAAAAACAAGTTTTGTAAAATTTCGAGTCGACACAATTAAATGTACTAACTTCGAGAAAAATTCCTCTGATCAGATTTTCTCAGGTGTCCTCAGCTCTGGTGGTCATGAGAGCTTCTCCATCTGTACCATAACATCCTTTCTGTAGACGCGCCATGAGGTTGTTCCTGTTCAGAAACCTCTCACAGTTCAAAAAGACCCAAAACGGTCCAGTACCCAGAACATTGAGTTACTGCTGAAGAACATTTTGAACTGATGTTGGACGATTCTGGACAGGACAGAAACAGTTTGATGAGACCTTTGATCCAACATGGAGTCCAGAGTCAAGAGCACCAAGAAAACAAAGTGGACCCTGCTGAGTTTCCAGGATTTAGGATCCAAACATGAGGATGAGAACCTGAAACAAACCAACTGATTCAAGGTTACCTTACATGATTTATTAGAACTCCTGTTAGACTTTAAACAGGACAATTAAATCTAGTGGCCTCAACATCAGATCAGAACCTAATCAGGTTTGAATTTGGATTTGAAGAACTTTTTCAGGACTCTGGTCCATGCCGAAGGTCTCATTAAGGATTGCGGTCTTGTTGGGTGCAGAAACCCAGTGAAGATGGATCATCATCAGCTGGCTCTCTCAGGCCCTCTTCCTGGGTGTTAGATGTTTCATGATGGATCCCAGATCAGTTCTGTCCAGAAGCTGGGGCTTTGAGTAACATGACCTCAAACAAAGCATTCATTTTTCTTTTTCTTTTATCTGAACTGATCAGGTTCTGACCTCACAGCTTCTAGTTGGTAGAACAGTCCCAGCTTCTGCCGGGAACTCTGCTGGGATCCAAGACTACGATACGCAGGTGGCCTCCAGGGTTGAGACCTCCAGGTGTCGAGACCTCTCAGGTCCGGTTCCTCCCGGTCGGAGGCCATCTGCGGTGTGAGGAGAGTGTAAATACTAAAACCTGTAAATGCATACGGAGTCTCTATTTTAGGTATGAATGAGGAGCAGCGCTAACTCAAGGACTAAACTTTAATTTGGTGTTTTTAACTTGTAAACGTTACAGAAGATTTAAGGAAATTATGAAAGAAATTATAAAAATGAAATTATGACTTTATGAATTGTACATAAATTGCTTCAGTTTGTTGTTTTCTTTTTAAATTTTGTTCCTGTTTACTTTTATTTGTGCAGAATCAATTGTTTACATTATTAAGTCTCTTTTTTCTGTGAACAACCTGATTGGAGGAGAGGTCTGGCAGGTGGCGGGACCTCATAATCTGGTGTAAAAAGGAAACTGAAACATTAAGATTTGTTAAATTTTATTTTGTTTTAAATATAATGTTGTTCTCTGAGTAAATCAGGGAAATCAGTTATCAGAAAAAATGTTTACATGAAGCAAATAAATTATAAATTTAATACAAAGTTGTAAGATTTTACATTTTAAGGAATAAGCTGTGCTTTTAGAAAAATTAGTAATATTTAATAAACTATTCCAGAATCAGTATTCCAAAACATTTTAGCTGGTTTTTAAACATTTAGTTGAGATTTTCAAAGAAAAAAAAAGATTAGATGATGACATCCTACCCTAAGTTGTAAAACTGATAAGTTTGACAGAAAATAATTTACATATTATTTAGGATAATAGTCTAAATTTCTTACATTTTTTATGTTTTTTTAACTTGATGTAAAGAAAACATATCTGAACGCAAAAAGAAAAAGTTGAAAAACTAGAATTATAAAATCAATGTTTATTTTCTAATAAATAAGAGTTCATTTTTGATAAAAACAAAAGCTACAATAAAATGTTAAATTTTACTTTTCAAATGTAGTTTCTTTTGTGAATATTATTATTGTAAAATATTATTTGTAACTTTTTAAGTTTTTGAACTTGTTTCTAAAAGTAATTTCACCTTATATAATAAATATGTATTATTTATTTTATTTTCCTGGAGCGAAAATAAGGTTATGTTTTCTGTCCGACTATGTTGTAACATTATTTTTAGGTGGTTATTTTTGTTTGTAAATAAAATTTGCTCATATTTGATTTGCTTTTAAAGTTATAACATTGTGAAATAATTATTGAAACGGTTTATTGAACTGTTTGGTTGTTTTGAGTCACTTATTGATGCATTTAACTGTTAATGAGCTGAAATCAGTCAACACTCCTTCTGCAGACGTCTGGTCCTTCGTCTCACAGCAAACACTGAAATAAAAATCATAGCTTCGAGTATTCATGTGTTTGTGGTGAAATGAGGTTCACTTTGATCAAAGAAAAAAAAACAATAAAAAATAAACTTCTGGACGACACATTTTAATCAGTTCAGCTGTAAAACATTAACATGAAAGGGTTATTCCATCCTAAGTGAAATTCAGTCTGTTGCTATATTCCCCAGAGTTTAATATGTGGGGGAAAGCATTTTGTAACCAACCCAGTCATTCTTCTGATCTGGCAGTATACTCCGTTAGCTTTAGCTTAGCATAAAGAATGAAAGTGAATGGTAACAGCTAGCATTTCATATGAAAAAGTTAAGAAAATGGCTCAGTAATTATCCTAATTGTAGCAAGGTGGATAAACGAGGGCCCGGGCGGGATTCGATCCCCAGACTCCCAGGTGAGAGTCATACGCTCTAACCAGTCAGCCAAAGGGACATCCCCTTGGCCAAGTAGCCAGGGCACATGATCAAACGGGACATTGTGACAGGACACACACTGTCACATAATGTTTATTGGTGACCTTAGTAATCATATCAACTGCAAATTAAAATAATAAATTACCTTGGAGAATTTACAAGAGATGGTTGTTTTGACCTGGAACTGCATAATTACAAAGCACCGCTGTAAGCCATCTCTGCAAGACGCTACTGCAAAACGCAAGGACATGATGCAGCGGCCCAAAAACTCACGGTTTACTGTTGTTAGGGTGAAATGTCGTAAATGTTATAAAATAAACTCACATTGTCAGCCATCAAGCCATTGCACCCTTGCAGTTGTGGCTTACATTGGTTACCGTTCACTTACATTGTTTATGCTAAGCTAAAGCTAACTGAATATTGACAGATTATAAAAATGACTGGACTTATTACAAAATGCTTTTTCCCCACTTCTCTAACGCTGGGGAATATGGCAACCGGCTAAATTTCCATTTGGGGTGGAATAATTCTTTAAAGACTGAAAACAGTTAACACACTTTGGACCATAAGGATTACAAAAAAGATGAAAAAACAAGACTCGGGTTGTCTTTTTGTCCACAGGACAGTAAAGCTGGATCTGATGAACAGCTGAACAAAAACAAGAACTATTCAGCAGTTACATAAAGAAGAAGAACGTCTGCAACATGAAATGAGAGACGACAGCCCACAAATTCACAACTAAACACAGCATCAATAAATCCTACAAGATGAAATGAGCAAAAACAAACAATGTAAAGACACAAAAAGACAAACCTCTGAAAGTCTTTTTACCAACTAAATCAACCAACAACAACACAGAGATGGTAGAAACAAACAAAAACGGATAAGCAGGTGTGTTTTAATTGGATTTTAGATTGAGACGAGTTTATAATCCGTTTGGAAGAAAAGTGTTTGTGGGCATTAACATCACCCAGAAAACTGCAAAACCAGCACGCAAATACCATAAAGGAGCGTGTAGTCTGATGTAGATACAGGGTCAGGAGGTCAACAGTGTTTAGTCAGGGTGTGTGTCACACCCCCCATCCAGGCCTGCAGAGTGGACGGACAGTGATTACCCCCCACCCCCACAGAGATGGATGATTTCCATCCCCGAAAAGGAGATGGTTTATATTTAGTGTCAAATTTGAGGGAAGGATGAAGGTTCAGATCAAGAGCCACTGGTTTTGGTCAGCTCTATATTTACCTTGGGGGGGGGGGGGGGGCAGTCAGGTCCTGCTGAGGAAAGGAAAACTACCCGGGTCAGGGTCAGAGTTGGTGTTAGTGTTACAGTCTGTGCCAGAGTTGGATTTAGGCCAGAGTTATCAGCATCAGGGTCAAGGTCAAGGTCAAGGTTAGGGTTAAGATTGAAAGATGATCAAAGTCACTAAAATCAGGACAAACTTCATTAGCTTTGTATTAGAAATGGCATAAAGCCCTGTGTCAGAGCCAAAACCTACCAAAGGGACTAAAGTTCTGGATCTGTCTGTTTTATTCAGGATAAATCAGAGCTGCTGCATGTACACACCACCATAGTAACAAAGCAGAGCATCATGGCTGCACATGTAATGTTTACCAGCTCAGTGGCCTAGTGGTAGAGTGTCCACCCTGAGACTGGGAGATCAGGGTTCAATTCCTGGTCGGGTCACACCAAAGGCTTTGAAAAAAAACAACAAAAAGGGCCCAATGCCTGTCTGCTTGACACTCAGCATTAAGGGGTTGGATTGGTTCCCGAGCGCTGCTGTGTCTGCAGCTCACCGCCCCCCCAGGGGATGGGTCAAATGCGGAGAACAAATTTTGCACACAAATCAGTGTGTGTGACAACTAATGGGACTTTAACTTTTTTTTAGATGTCCCTAACAAACTCGAGTTCAACCATCAGGAGAGTCACCTTCATCAGCTCCTCCAATAGGATTCCAGGTCATTCCTGAGAGTCATCTGCCAGCAGTACACACCCTATACACCTGTCCCAGGAGACATCCTGCTCATCTCGTCTCTACACATTACCTGGCCACCTAGCAAACTCATCTCATTATGGCCACTTGCAGTCAAAGGTCATGACCGGTGGTGGACTGGCCATCCGGCATATCTGGCATTGTCCCGGTGGGCCACTTACCATGATGTCTACCCAAAGTTAGCCGGTCCAGCGATTGTATTGCTGAAGACACCTGGAACTGATCATTCACAGAAGACTCTCATACAGATTTACAGCAGCTTTGGGTGCATTGCCTTGCTGGAAGGCAGTTTGGCCTGTTAGTGGGGAAGCCAGAATAAAACCATCAACCTTCTGACTTGCATGCAACAGCCCTTCCTCCTCAGCAATTGAAATAATATATAATATAATATAATATAATATAATATAATATAATATAATATAATATAATATAATATAATATAATATAATATAATATAATATAATATAATGTAATGTAATATATAATATACGGTAATATAATATAATATAATATAAATATAGGACAAATATGCACAAATTACAGATCTGTCAGCAACTCAAACAGATATAACACACACCACACACACACGCACACACACACACGCACGCACGCACGCACGCACGCACACACACACACACACACACACACACACACACACACACACACACACACACAGAGAATCTCCCCCACCCCATGTAACGAGGCCTTTAAATAGGGCCAGTCTTCGCCTCTTCGACCTCTGTGTCGCATCCTAGCCGCCGGCAACTCATCTTCACAAGGTCTCCTCAAGCCCTAAGACCCAGGTAGACTCACACTTGTGCATGCACAGACATGCTCACACACATACACACACACACACACACACACACACACACACACACACACACACACACACACACACACACACACACACACACACACACACACACACACACACACACACACACACACACACTTGTGCATGCACACAAATACCTGCTTGTGCACACACATACAGGCTCTGAATCAGCTAGGCTTTTACCAAACATCAGTAGGAAGTTTTGAACCTGCAGAGGTTCTTCAGCTGCAGAGAAACCACAGTGAGGGCTGGTTGGTTCTGCAGCAGAATCAGCTGCTAGTTCAGGGTAACACATTTGTTTTACTAGGCTAGCAGATTTTTTAATTTAAGAAATCAGATTCTTCAAATATCAAACATTTCCCATGTACCAAAATAAAAGCATGATTTTGAACAGTGCTGGGTTTTTGTAAGCATGTGGTTTGAAGGTTTTCTGGGATTTTTATGCAGAAAAGAAACACAAAGTTTTAGTCTGTTTAAGTTTTAGACACTTAAGTGCTGGTTTTAAATGTTGTGTGAGTTGATCATGGAGGAGCAGATCTGAAGGAACAGAAGAACAAGCTAGAATTCCTAAAAATAGTCCAGCATGAGGATACGTTAGAACAGTGGGTCATTTCAACCAGCTGCTGTCAGCTGTTATCAAATACCAACAGGTGGTAAAATTAGTTTAGAATGGAGACGGAGGACCAGATCAGATTTCTGATGAGGACTGAGTTTAGCTGACTGTTTAGATGTTTCAAAATAAAGCTAAGATGAAGGAATAGAACCAGACATGAAACCAGAACCAGATGAAACTTTTGAATTCTGCAGAAACTTGAGAACAAAAACAAAACCTCAAAAATGTGACATGAAAAAGACCTAAAAACAGTAAAGATCAAATAAAACCAATAGGAAGAAACAAACCAGCATGTGTGTGTGTGTGTGTGTGTGTGTGTGTGTGTGTGTGTGTGTGTGTGCATGCATGCGTGTGTGTGTGTGTGTGTGCATGCATGCGTGCGTGTGTGTGTGTGTGTGGTGGGGGGGTCCTATCTTATGAAACAGCTTCTTTACGTGATCCGTTGGTGGGCGGAGCCTGAGCAGAAGGAGCTTAACAAATCAGATATTTTATCTACTGCTTAGCAAGTTCATTGATTTCCTTTTTCATTAAACTGATCAGTAGAATAAATGATGTCTTGATATTTTGGGTCAAAAGTCTGTTTGTTGATGAGTTCTGGTTTCTCTGAAGACTCCTCAGCAGAAATGGAGCGTACCTTCATTGCCGTGAAGCCCGATGGTGTACAGAGGGGACTCTGTGGTGAGATCATCAAGCGCTTCGAACAGAGGGGTTTCAAGCTCGTCGCTGCTAAATTTCTGCAGGTAATCACGAGGAACATCTGGTGGCTCTACTTCGTTCCTGTCTGCAGGAACCAGTCCAGCTGTGTGCTTTGGGGGTTGGAACTCCCACCTTGGTCCACGTTTCAGCTCTTTGATCTCAGAAGAAAGACACTTCTGGAACTTGTTGCACAAAATGGGAGGAGTCTGTATTTAGAATTCTGACTCTCCAGTCCACAGTAGACCCAAACACCTGAACCAGCTTCCTGGTTTCATAAATCCTTACAGAATAATTCCAGAATAGATCTGATCTAACATAAAACCCAATCTGACTGTCCTCTTTACCTGGTGTGCTTCAGGCCTCTGAGGACCACATGAAGAAGCACTACCTAGACCTGAAGGACATGCCATTCTATGCTGGTCTCTGCAAATACATGTCCTCTGGACCAGTCTTTGCCATGGTAAAACACACACACACACACACACACACACACGCACACACACACACAAACATTGTACTATGTATAAACTAAACTATTTCTATTCACAATATAATACCTGGAATAGAAACAGAAGCTAAACTTTGTGCTGACCTTTTGATGAAAAACACTAAGTTTCAGCTTTCTGTGTAAATATGAAAAACCACCATAACCATGAGTCTCGTGTGTGTGTGTGTTACAGGTCTGGGAGGGTCAGGGTATTGTGAAGCTGGCCAGGATGATGCTGGGTGAGACCAACCCTGCAGACTCCAAGCCCGGCAGCATCCGTGGAGACCTGTGCATCAACATTGGCAGGTGAGGAAATCACAACAACAACGTACTGAAATTGTAAAGAAATGTTCAGGGTTTCTTTAAAAGAATTCCCCCTAAAACGCTGTTTTCAAAAGAGAGCAAAAAATGTCATTAGTTAGATAAATATATAAATAAGTCAGTAAATGATCAGCCACTAGTGAGTCACTGGCCCTAACCTCTGCCCTCTTCTAGGAACATCATCCACGGCAGCGACACCCTGGATAACGCCAAGCTGGAGGTGGACCTATGGTTCAAACCCGAGGAGTTTGTCAACTGGACCCCCAGCGCTCAGCCCTTCCTTTACGAGTAAACTTCATCTCACTGGAGCTCTGCAGACCCACTGACCTCACCCTCGCCACAGTAGACCCTCTGACTTGGTCGTCACCAAATATATCCGCAACATGTAGCACTGATCAATAAAGTCTTATGTTAACAAGTCTAAGTGTTTTTAATTAAAATAACTCAACAAAAACATTAATTCAGCTGCTGTTTCTGCTCTTCAGATTGGATTTCTTCAGGTCTAAAAAAAACTCTCTAGTCTTTAAGTAACAAGTTAATCAGAGACCTGAACCAGGACCTGAGAGGTGCTGAATCCTTCAGCAGACCATCGACTGTAGGACCAGTTTGATTTCGTAGATGATTTCAGGACTCTGGTTTGCATTTTCTTCTTCCGGCTCTTGGCGGGTGCAGACGCTTTTTTCCTCCTCTCCTCCATATCTTATTCTCAAGGCCTTTGTCTGTCTGTGTGTGCTGGGTGCATGGCTGCTTCTGCATTTTTCTGGAAACTGAAATTCACTTAAATGGATCTCGTCAGCGGGTCTCTCAACGCGATTGATAAAATTTTTTCAACGATGAGAACGGGAGAAGGGCCTCCCAGATGTCCCGCCGGGACAGACCCGGTTGGGCACATCATGGACTCCTGGAAACAGTGGAACTTGATCTGTCGTTCTTAGCTGTCTGTGGAGGACTCTGAAGACGTGTGGATATTCGTGGTGTTGGTGTCAGGTTTCCTGCTCATTGGCCTTGGAGGCTACCTGGCTTACCGGAAAATTAATGAGCTGTCGAGGAATATTGGCCTGATCCCGGAGCTCAGAGATGGTTTGCACTGCGCTGTGAATTCACAGACTCAAATAATTGTCCAGATTAATCGTAAGCTTGGGACTTTGGCGGAGATTCATTCTTTGGCACAAAAGATGGATGCCATCAAGGAGAGAGTGGACGAATCAGCACGGATTGGGATCGATTAACGTCCATTAATGGGATTTTGAGAGGTTGAGGACCAACAAACTGTAAGACAGAGAGGAAATTATCTCTGTCTGGCCCCAAAACAATTTCTAATCGGAATCTGGTGTCCTTGAGCCTGCAAGCTCCAACGAACCCCTCCGCCCTCTCAGAAGATATGTGGAATGTGCCGTTGCTATGGCAACTCAACTCTGTCTCCTTTACCAGCCTGGGCGGGACTGCAGGAAGGCCGCTGAAGCATCCAGGGTCACTGCAACCCTCCAACCCTCAATGCTCCCCCCCCCCCCCCCCCCCCCCCCCATCCACACTGAGGTGACATGTGCTGTTTCATCGTGGCTGCAGGAACTGAAGTGGGGATAGTCCCAACCCACCACCCCACCTAGTGGACTCTTATGTTGTGTGTTCTGAAGTCTGTTGCATATCTGTCTGAGGTGTTTTTTGCAGAGCAAAGCTGCCCTCCTGGTGGGAGGGGAACTCTGAAGTGCCTTTTTTCCCTCCACCTGAACCAATCCTCATGTAACCCTCTGATCTCTCTATTAAGGTAGCGCGACTCAGGGTTGCGAATGACCACACATTCTTGTCATGTGTCTTGTCCATGTATGTCTGATCTCTGAATTGTGTGTACTGAAACTCTAATTTCCCTCTTGGATTAATAAAGTGTCTTTGATTTGATTTGATTGATTTAAGAGATAAAGGTGTGAACATACAGCAGTCAAAGAACTCGGTGTGAAACAGGTCATTATCAGGCTGTGAAAACAGAAAAATAAAAACGTAGAGAGATTCCAACAACATTAAGAATGTACAGTTTGGTACATCCTGAGAGAGAAGGGAAGCACCAGTGAACTCAGGCAAAAGGCCTGAATGTCCACAGTGGTAGATGATCACAGAATCACTTCACTTTACAACAAAACATTCTTAAGCAGGTGCATGAATGAATATCCAAGTCTACAATAAATACAGCAAGAATGAAATACACTGCAGGATGTAAGCCACTTAAGAACAGAAAGGTTGGAATAAAATCCACAAAAAAATAAACAACTAAAAGTTCTCATTTATGTGCAATGTTTTGTTCCACCCACTGATGAAAGCTTTAAGTCTGCTCTTCCACATCTCACTTTCACTGTGGTACATATGTACAGAACTGAAAATAAAAATATATACATTTCTGGTCCTAACTGTACATATCATATAAGTGGTGCTCATCACTAGTAAGTTTTAACACCAGAGAAGAACTAGAAGGTTCCAGGCCCAGTAAGTCATCACCATGAATAAAGTCTATAAGCCTACATCTGGTCTACTGTCTTTGGTAAACCTGAACACGCACAAGCCAACTACCAGACCAGCTGTTTCACATGTGAATGTTGTGATGTCATGTAAAGGTGGTTCTGGTTTCAGAGCCAGATTCAGTTTTGAATTGTATGAAAGGGAAAACAGACCCTATCCAAATGTAACGCTAAATATTTGAACTTCTGGTGAATTAAACCTCTGCAACATCAGAGGGGTTCTGCCAAGTCTCATAGGCAGTTTGGTTCTGGTTTCATTCTGAGCTCCACAGCTGTGTCTGGCCCTTTCACTGCTGCTGTTTTTAGAATGCAGATGGTAAATCAACCCATTTCTGGCTGAAAGTTTCCCTCTTCAGCAGCTGATCCCACACCAGGTAAACACATCAGGGTCTGATCCAAATGGGTCTGCTTTCCTTTTACAGGCCTGGGAACAGGACACAGGGTCCTGCTGACTCAGGTTCAGGAACCTTAAATCCAGAACGACTTAAAATCCCAGCTGAAAGAATTTTATCCCAAAACAACTCAAATTCTTTATTCTGAAACCCCAGAATTCACCTTTGTTCACATCTTTGGACCAAGTTTACTAAAGTAAGAAGTCCAGGAATAGGTCCGGACCCAAGTGATCCAAGATCCTTCAACATAAATAAATAAATTAATTAAAGAAAATAATAATAATATAATATAAATAAATAAATAAAAAAGAAAGGAAGGAATGGTACAATTTTTCTTTTACCTCGAACAACATTTTCTGTTAAAAAAACACACAAATAAACAAAAACATTTTCTTTTAAATATACGTTTTATTGCATACAACGAGTCAATGTAAATGTCCCCCCCCCCACAATCAAGCCGCCGATAATTGCACAAAGTATAAAAAACGTATTACATGAGTTCATCTTCTCCTGGGATTGGTTGAACATCCCCACGACTAACAGCTTTTCCACAAACATTCAGTCACATTAATAGAAACTGGATTTATTTCACTGAGAAGTGCACATTTAAACTGTAACACTGAGAAAACACAAGACAAAAGTTAATCTGATCTGAAACAGTCAAACATCCAGAGGATTATTATGGCATCAAGTGGGGAAACAGCTGGAGCTCTTCATAAAGAGATCCAGCCGAATAAATAAACTCCTGATAAAATAAAACGATCTTCATTCTGTTAATCTGTTTAACAGCAGCTGCTGTTTGTAGCTAAATATGAGTTAATTTGTTTAGAAAAATGTAAAATAAATATTTTTAATAGAATCTTACATGTTTTCAATTGATCCGTTTTAATTAATTAAAAAACAGAACAACAGAGAATAGGTCAGATATGACCTGGTTCTGAGCTGAAATCACAAAGCAGTTCTGGTACAATTAATGCTGCTGTTAATGACAAAAATCACCTTTAATTTCAGATCGTTGAATTCCAAAAACCTATAATCTGGGATTACGAAATGTCTGAAAAACTTAATCTTAGATTGAAGCAAAGAAACTCCTAATGTCAGATTATTAAACTTCTTGAAGTCCCCGAAGGGCTCTTTATAAAACACGCAAACCACAAAAATGTCCTTCACACAGCAAACCGATACATACAAAATATAAAGCACGACAACGATGCACGACTCAGAAACTCTAAACCAAACTCCTAAAATGTTTATGTTTATTTATTTTTTCTAAACAAAATAAAGAGAACACATCTGTCTTCAACACCACATGTTCACTAAGGTCACAGTTTGTAAAAAGATGTCTCCTCTGTCAGCACCATGATTCCCAAACGGGATTACGGGTTAGACTAGTGCTTCCCGGTGAGGTCCTGATCACCACAGAGAAATGTATTTTTAGTTTTTCACTTTCAGAAAGTAAAACAGCAAATCAGACCAATGTGTCAGTGATGTTTTTCACCTTAGAAACAACAAATTCTGACAAAACTTTTATTACACCATAAAAAAAAAGGAATATAAAATGTATGAAATTATTTAGGTTCAAAACAGAAAATATAATTATTTTAAATGTTTCAGTAATTCATTGTCAAAGTAAACATTTAATCTCTTTTCCTAAAAACTGCTTGGCAGAAATGTTTTAAGCTTTTAAGAAAGGTTTTTCTGATTCAGATTTCATTTCAATATAAGAATAAAAACATTACATTTATCTAACAATATTATTTCATTTAATTTAATAGTTTTTAATCTTATTTTCCATTTACTGTTTTTTGTTTAGTCAATAAAACTTTGAATCATTAAATATTTTTAGAATTATTTTAAATAATTTGACATTGTTTTACGTTCTTGTTTAGTTTTGTTAGTTTTATTTTCTAGATGCTGATTTTGACAAAAGAACAATTTGTTTCGACAACTCAGTTCATTTTTTTAAACAAACAAATGACAAAAACACACTGATACAGAAACTCTCGTTGAAATATTTTTGTAGTAAAATTGTTCTTTTTTATAAACCTGTCTGATTTATTATAGAATACTTAGATTTGTAATGGATTTTTATTTCAGTAAGAGTTTAAAATCTAAATATTTTCAAACACTGTGTCACAATAAACCATTTTTTATTTGTTTTATTTAACGCTGCTTGATGAGGTAAAACTGTGAATTGTATTAAACTGTTTGTACTTCCAAACTTCCATAAATTCAGTTCAGCTCTAGTTCTGTTTCTCACTGCTTTTTGTTTTCCTACTTTGTTGTAAAAATTCAGAGAAACAAAACGTTGTTTTGCGATCCGACTCGAGGGAACCAGATGAAGGACCGTCTGTGCGGTTAGGGTCAATCACAAAGCTTCTTCTGGGTTTTCTGACCTTACCTCCACATCAACCAATCTTCTTCCAGTCAGCAGTTCTGATTTGTCAAAAACAAGTGGAGCTGATGTTGAAAATGAAGATAAAAATTGTGTCTCGCTTCCAGTTGGACAAAATCTGAGGCTCATCTTTCATCGGTTTGCCCGACCAGGTTAAAGAATCAGTACGTTTAGTCAGGAAACCAACTGAATTACCAGATGAAGAAATGTTTCTGAATGATTTACAAGAGGAGTGATAAGAGGAGTTTTACTGATTTGTGCTGGAGAGGAAATCTGTTGAGCCATTCATTTCTGTCCCTCTCTGTGATGAAGACCTCATGCCACTAATGTTCTCCTCCTGCAGCTGCAGATCTGTGGAAACAAAGCTGCTCATTAACAAAAAACAACAACAAAAAACCTAATGTTACACTGTAACACTCAAAGGGAGACTAAAATCAAAAATGACTTTGGACCTAGTCATATCCAGACTGAGAACTACAATCATTTACTTATGATGAAGATAATAGAGTAAAATATTTCTCTGATTAAAGCTGAAATTTTACAGGAAAAGGTCATCAGCGGGTTTGAAGGGAATCAACAGTACAACGTGACCAGCAGGTGGCACTGTTGGCATTGGTCTAAACAGAACAAAAGCAGAGCCACCATGTCAGAGAGGTGGGCTCTTATTGTTTCTGAGGGAGAAACAGCTGATTGGTGATGAGATCAGTGGTGTGAAATAATGTGTCATGTGAATCAATTGATCACTGTCATGTATCATATGATCAGTAAGGTGAAAGTCATGTGATCACTTGTGATTGTTTGTGTCATCTGTCATGGATCCATCATGACTCATGTCGCCATGTGGAGTGCCATGTGTTGGTCATATGATCAGTCATGTTCTCAGTCATGTGATCTGTCACGCCAAAAGTCTAGTGATTCTCAGGATCAGTCATGTGATTGCTCAAGTCAAAGATGGTGAGATAAGACACAGGATTGGTCATGAGAACAGTCTAGTAAAAATAAAATCTGTTGTGCTATTGGTTACTTGATTGTCATGTGTTCAGTCATGCAATTAGTCATGTAAGGTTCAGGATCAGTCATGTGATCAGGATCAGTCATGTGATCAGGATCAGTCATGTGACTGATCAAGTTGTTAGGAATAGAACAAGTCATGTTATGGATCAAGGGATTGGTTGTGAGTTCTGTAATCTTTTATGTAACCATTCATGTATCTGGTCATGTCATTGATTGTGAAACTGGTCATGTGATCAATCGTGTAATTAGTCATGTGAGTTGAAATGTGATTGGTTGTTTAATTGGTCATGTGATTAGTCTCGCCATAGAGGTGAGCATTGATTACCTGCCCCCCCCCTTGGTGTTGGGGTTTGGCTGGGCGTCTGAGGCCTGAAGAAGGGGTTTTGGATAATCATGAGGAGTCTCGTTTTCATCTCCTGATAGGCTCTTGGGAACTCCTGCTACCATGGTGCCGGAGGGGCTGATGGGGCGCTTAGCGACAGGTAACTTCCTCTCTGAGAGTTGGAGATTTAACCAACAGATGTTATCTTCCCTATGACAGATTACAGGGACTGTTCTGTAAAAGCCCCCCCCCCCACGCCACCCTCCCCTCCCAAAAGGCTTTGAGTTCAACACTTTAACATCAGAGTGAAGCTCAACCTGTGTAGATGTGTGATGCTGCAGGTTAATAAATCTACCAGGACGAGCTGGGAGACGTACTTTTCTTCTGTCCTCTGTACTGCTGGGATTTCCTCCTCTGTTTTGATGCTGAAGACTGCAGATCTCTACACCCTGAAACACATAAACCCTCAGAGCTGCTGGTTACCTCAGACCTTAGACAGGCCAGCTCAGGTGATGCTTACCTGTGTTCACAGCAGGAGGCTGCAGCTGGTACCCTGTCAGCTGACACCAACCAACAGGATACAGATCCGGGGATGCACAGTCCACCCACTGGTCATACTCGTCCTCCCAGCCATCAAAGTGGATCCGCAACAGCCGGTGGACAATGCGGGTTACTGTAGCAACACAGACGAGGCGGGGCTCCATGAGGTCTACGGCCTCCAGCTTCATCCCAGGACGGAAACCATGGTTTGGGACTTCCTGTTGGGAGTGGAAAACTATTCTGATATCACCGTTGTTCTGTTTCTTCATCATCAACCAGTTTGTGAATCAAACACCAGAAGTCGACACACTAAAAATCCATCATGTAACAGGTCATCACAAAGCTTTGTTCTGAGCCCTGGAGAATAACAAAGCTCCATTAGGAACCCTGGAATACTAATGAGATGTGTACGGGACAAACTTTAAAAATTGCTCCTGCTAATTTTCTGACCATTTCCACCCAGTCCTTGCCTTCACCTGTACACCTTAATATTTTCTGTTCGGTTCTTTACTCTTATTCTCTTACCAACCTCAGCTGTACTCTCAATCTGACCAACAATCTTGGGACTCACCTTTTTTCCCACAACTTGCTCCTGCCAAAGTAGTCTAACAACTGCCCGCATCTGCAAGATTTGCGTTGGGTCCCGTGAATCATGTGAGATCCCAGTTCAAATGCAGGGCTCTGATACAAGCCCATTCCCACAATACTTGCTTTGGGTCTCACAGGATTCCAGTCCAAGGCTCTAACACAAAGCTCCATCCTAAGGCCTGTTACACCCCGTCTGCTAAAATCCCTTTATCACTTTGTGGTTGGCGCTGTTATCCACTCTGCTGTGGTCTGTTGGGGTGCAGGCAGCTCTGACTGAGACAGGATGAGACTCAACAAGCTAGTTCACAAAGATAGCTCAGTTCTAGGGCTGCCAACTAGATTCAGTTGAGGAGACTTGTGAAAGGAAGATGTTGGTGAAGATAGCCTCCATCTTGGAAAATTCCACCCACCCACTGCATTCCACTGTAGAGACCAATGGCCAACAGCCATTGTAATATACAACAACTCTTTGACAACTTGATTATAATTATTATTCTGAGCTACTACAGCAATCAATTTCCCTCTGGGATTAATTATTTTTGAATTTGAATTTGAATTTAACTGAATTGGACAGCTCCTTCAGTGGCAGACAGAACGTTACCATACGGTTATTCATCCCCTCTGCAGTAAGAGTGTATAACTCCTCAGTTTAACTGGTACTGGCATTATCCTGGTACACAATAACACCAATGCTATATTCAGTATGTGTTCAATACTTGGGCAATACCAGATGTACATTAGTATGTCTGTGTCCCTTATGCAGCATAGTTATGGAAACCCAAATTTCTTTTATTCTTTGCTTTTAGTTGTTGATGGTTACAATTCAATTCAATACAATTCAATTCAAAAACACTTTATTAATCCCAGAGGGAAATTTAATGCTGTAGTAGCTCAGAATAATAACAATAATCAGGTCATCAAAGAGTTATTGTATATTACAATGGCTGTTGGCAGGAAGGATCTCCAGTAGCGGTCAGTGTTGCAGCAAAACTGAAGAAGCCTCTGACTGAAGACACTCCTCCGTTGTCAGACAGTCTTGTGAAGAGAATGCTCAGGGTTGTCCATAATTTTCTTGATTCTCTGGAGAATCCTTCTTTGCATTATCTCCTCCAGTGGTTCCACAGTTGTCCCCAGAACAGAACCAGCCTTTTTGATTAGGCTGTTGAGCCTTTTCAGGTCCCTGCTTCTGATGCTACTACCCCAACAGACGATGGCTGAAGAGATTACACTCTCAACAACAGACTTGTAGAAAATCTGCAGCATCTTGCTACAGACATTGAAGGGCCTAAGCGACCTCAAGAAGTGCAGTCTGCTGTGTCCCTTCTTGTAAACGGCTTTGCTGTTCTTTCTCCAGTCCAGTCTGTTGTCCAAGTGAACTCCAAGGTATTTGTATTTCTCAACCACCTCCACTTCTTCTCCCATGATGGGAACAGTGTTTGACTCCACCCTGTTTTTTCTGAAGTCTAAAATCATCTCCTTTGTTTTGTTCATGTTCAAGGTCAGATGATTGTTTCCACACCATGCCACAAAGCGCTCCACCAGCTCTCTGTACTCAGCTTCCTGTCCATCTCTGATACACCCGACAACTGCAGAGTCATCAAAGTATTTCTGTAGACGACAGGTCTCTGATTCGGACTGGAAGTCTGAGGTGTACAGGGTGAAAAGGGATGGTGAGACTACAGTCCCCTGTGGTGCTCCAATGTTACTGATCGCCTGGTTTGATGTGCAGTTCTTCAGCCTCACAAACTGTCGTCTGTTTGTCAGGTAGTCTTTAATCCAGGCGATAGTTGAGGTCCCCACCTGTGTCTTCTGGAGTTTCTGGCAAAATACATCAGGCTGATTTGTGTTAAATGCACTGGATAAATCAAAGAACATGACCCTCACAGTGCTGCCTGCTTTGTCCAGCTGACAGTGGGTTGGTTGAATCAGCTGGATGATGGCATCTTCAATTCCAACTCCATGGCGATAAGCAAACTGCAGTGGGTCCTGATATGTCCTAGTTTGCTTATTCAGGTGGACCAACAAGAGTCTCTCCAGGACCTTCATGATGTGGGATGTCAGGGCAACCGGTCTGTAGTCGTCATAGACTGATGGGTGAGTTTTCTTTGGAACTGGAACAAGGCTGGATGTTTTCCACAGGACTGGAACCTTCTCCTGGGCCAGGCTGAGGTTGAAGAGGTGCTGCAGAATCCAACAGAGCTGCTCTGCACAGGCCTTCAATAATCTGGGGCTGACACCATCTGGACCTGCAGCCTTGTTCCTGTTCAGTCTCTCCAGCTGCCTCTTTACCTGACTTCTAGAGACAGGGAGGTGGGAGGGGAGGTAAATGGGGCAGCTGCATCTCCTGACTTGGTTGAAAACAGATTTATAGAACCAGAAGAGTCCATGAGTGCGTTAGAGGACAAAAGAGCTGGCGTGTGACAAGAAAATGTTGGCTCAGAGGAGGATGGGATGTCTGATTGGCTGGGGACAGGCGAGGAGGATGCTGGGTTTGTTCCTGAACTGAACCTATTGAAGAACTTGTTCAGTTCATTGGCTGTGTCCAGGCTGCCATCTGTGCAATATTTCCTCTGCTTGAAGCCTGTGATCTTCCCTGACCAGACATCTCTTATATTGTCCCTCTGTAGTTTGTTCTCCAGCTTCTTCCTGTATGTCTCCTTGCTGTCTCTGATCTTGATCTTCGGTTGCTTCTGTATACTCCTCAATAATTCCCTGTCTCCCTCATTGAAGGCTCTTTTTTTCTCATTTAGCAGATTCTTCAGTTCACTAGTGATCCAGGGTTTGTTATTAGCAAAGCATCTCACTGTTCTGGTGGGTATGATGTTGTCCACACAGAAGTTTATATAGTCAGTGACACATTCATTCATGGCATTGATGTCCTCTTCATATCCTTGGCTGAGAGTCATCCAATCTGTGGTCTCAAAACAACCCTGCAGGGCTTCTTCAGCGTCCTGTGACCATTTTCTCACAGTTCTTCTAGTCACAGGTTGCCCCTGAACAAGTGGTTTTTATTCTGAGCAGAGAAAAACAAGATTGTGATCCGATTGTCCTAGAGGAGGTCTTGTTTTGGACATGTATGCATTCTTTACATTTGCATAACACAAATCCAATGTTTTGTTTTCTCTGGTGGAGCAGCTGACAAACTGTTGAAATGTTGGAAGTGTAGCAGAGAGCGAGACATGATTAAAATCACCAGATATAGTCACAAATGCATTGGGGTGCTGGGTTTGTAGCTTAGCGACAACGGAACTGATGGTATCACTTGCACTTTCAGCAATGGCTGGAGGTGGAATATAAACGGTTGCCAAGACAACACTGGTGAACTCTCTTGGCAAATAATATGGGCAACAACTTACTGCCAAGAGTTCAACATCTGGGCTGCAAAGACAACATTTCACTGAAGCATGGCCTGGATGGCACCATCTGTTGTTGACAAGCACTGCCACTCCACCTCCTTTTCTTTTCCCGCTCCTCTTCAGATCTCTGTCTGCTCGTATGGTTAGGAATCCTGGCAGAGAGACACTGGAATCGGGGATATGGTTCTGCAGCCACGTCTCAGTGAAACACCTAACACTGCACCGTCGATACTCTGGCTGAGTCCTTGAAAGGGCTTGGAGTTCATCCATCTTGTTGGCCAGTGATCTCACATTGCCAATTATGATCGATGGAAGAGTTGGTTTGAATTTCCTCTTTCTCTGTCTCCATTTTGCTCCCGCTCTGCACCCACGCTTCTTGCATTTTTAGCTCATTTGGGATTTTTGGCATCAGTTGAGGTATTATTTCAGCCTTTCCAATGTTAATCAGCTGCTCCCGATTGTAAACCAGCTTGTCGCCATGATTACGCATCAAAACAAATGCTCAAAAAGTGAAAAAATTGCAGTAAAAATCCTCTAAGCTTCACAGCACCAGAAACAGAAAAGTAAAATGCCCAAAATAATACCTTTTTTCTTGAGAAACTAGAAGAAAAAATGTCAAAAAAAAAAGGCAAAACTTACATATAGTAAACAGAACTACTCCAACATGCAGCCACCCAGAGCAGCGCAGTTCCCGAATGTTATAGCTTAGACCCATAACATGACTTGTTCTATTCCCAACAACTTGATCAATCACATGACTGATCCTGAACCTTACATGACTAATTGCATGACTGAACACATGACAAGCGGGGTGCAGCAGTGGCAGTTGACGAGGCAAAATCTCGGGCGTGGGAGGAGTTTGGTGAGGCCATGGAGAAAGACTATCGATCGGCTCCAAAGAGGTTCTGGCAAACTGTCCGGCGCCTCAGGAGAGGAAGGCAGCAACTAGCTCACACTGTTTACAGTGGGGATGGGGAGCTGCTGACGTCAACTGAGGCTATAGTCGGACGGTGGAAGGAATACTTTGAGGAGCTCCTCAATCCCACCAATGCGCATTCCGAGGAGGAACCAGAGCTGGGAGGCCTGGGGATGGACTGTCCGATCTCGGGGGCAGAAGTTGCTGAGGTAGTCAAACAACTACACAGCGGCGGAGCCCCGGGGGCGGATGAGGTTCGTCCTGGGTATCTCAAGGCTATGGATGTTGTAGGGCTGTCATGGTTGACACGTCTCTACAACATTGCGTGGTCATCGGGGGCAGTTCCTAGGGAGTGGCAGACCGGGGTGGTGGTCCCCATCTTTAAGAAGGGTGACCTGAGGGTGTGTTCCAACTATAGGGGGATCACACTCCTCAGCCTCCCTGGAAAGGTCTACTCCAAGGTACTGGAGAGGAGGGTCCGATCGATAGTTGAATCTCAGATAGAGGAGGAGCAGTGTGGTTTTCGTCCTGGCCGTGGAACTGTGGACCAGCTCTATACCCTTGCAAGGGTGATGGAGGGGGCATGGGAGTTTGCCCAACCAATCCACATGTGCTTTGTGGATTTGGAGAAGGCTTATGACCGTGTCCCCAGGGGCACCCTGTGGGGGACGCTCCAGGAGTATGGGGTGGGTGGCTTTCTGTTAAGGGCCATTCAGTCCCTTTACCAGAGGAGCGTGAGTTTGGTCCGCATAGCCGGTAGTAAGTCGGACCTGTTCCCAGTGAGGGTTGGACTCCGCCAAGGCTGCCCTTTGTCACCGGTTCTGTTCATCACTTTTATGGACAGAATTTCTAGACGCAGCCGTGGTGTGGAGTGTGTCGAGTTTGGTGGCAGGAGAATCTCGTCTCTGCTTTTTGCGGATGATGTGGTCCTCCTAGCTTCATCCAGCTCTGACCTTCAGCTCTTGCTGGGTAGGTTCGCGGCCGAGTGTGAAGCGGCTGGGATGAGGATCAGCACCTCCAAATCTGAGACCATGGTTCTCGACCGGGAAAGGGTGGCTTGCCAACTCCGGTTCGGGGGAGAGGTCCTACCTCAAGTGGAGGAGTTTAAGTATCTCGGGGTCTTGTTCACGAGTGAGGGTAGGAGGGATCGGGAGATCGACAGGCGGATTGGTTCGGCGTCTGCAGTAATGCGGACGCTGAGCCGATCTGTCGTGGGGAAGAGGGAGCTGAGCCAGAAAGCCAGGCTCTCGATTTACCGGTCGATCTACGTCCCAATCCTCACCTATGGTCATGAGCTTTGGGTAATGACCGAAAGAACGAGATCGCGGATACAAGCGGCCAAAATGAGTTTCCTCCGTAGGGTGGCCGGGCTCAGCCTTAGAGATAGGGTGAGGAGCACGGACATTCGGGAGGGACTCGGAGTAGAACCGCTGCTCCTCCGGATCGAAAGGAGCCAGTTGAGGTGGTTTGGGCATCTGGTCAGGATGCCTCCTGGACGCCTCCCCGAGGAGGTGTTTCGGGCATGTCCTGCCGGCAGAAGGCCCCCGGGTCGACCCAGGACACGTTGGAGAGGTTACATCTCCAATCTGGTCCGGGAACGCCTTGGGGTCCTGCCGGAGGAGCTGGTGGACAAGGCCGGGGAGAGGACGGCCTGGAGCTCCCTAGTTGGGATGCTGCCCCCGCGACCCGGACCCGGATAAGCGGAGGAAGACGACGACGAACACATGACAATCAAGTAACCAATAGCACAACAGATTATATTTTTTACTAGACTGTTCTCATGACCAATCCTGTGTCTTATCTCACCATCTTTGACTTGAGCAATCACATGACTGATCCTGAGAATCACTAGACTTTTGGCGTGACAGATCACATGACTGAGAACATGACTGATCATATGACCAACACATGGCACTCCACATGGCGACATGAGTCATGATGGATCCATGACAGATGACACAAACAATCACAAGTGATCACATGACTTTCACCTTACTGATCATATGATACATGACAGTGATCAAATGATTCACATGACACATTATTTCACACCACTGATCTCATCACCAATCAGCTGTTTCTCCCTCAGAAACAATAAGAGCCCACCTCTCTGACATGGTGGCTCTGCTTTTGTTCTGTTTAGACCAATGCCAACAGTGCCACCTGCTGGTCACGTTGTACTGTTGATTCCCTTCAAACCCGCTGATGACCTTTTCCTGTAAAATTTCAGCTTTAATCAGAGAAATATTTTACTCTATTATCTTCATCATAAGTAAATGATTGTAGTTCTCAGTCTGGATATGACTAGGTCCAAAGTCATTTTTGATTTTAGTCTCCCTTTGAGTGTTACAGTGTAACATTAGGTTTTTTGTTGTTGTTGTTTTTTGTTAATGAGCAGCTTTGTCTCCACAGATCTGCAGCTGCAGGAGGAGAACATTAGTGGCATGAGGTCTTCATCACAGAGAGGGACAGAAATGAATGGCTCAACAGATTTCCTCTCCAGCACAAATCAGTAAAACTCCTCTTATCACTCTCCTCTTGTAAATCATTCAGAAACATTTCTTCATCTGGTAAATTCAGTTGGTTTCCTGACTAAACGTACTGATTCTTTAACCTGGTCGGGCAAACCGATGAAAGATGAGCCTCAGATTTTGTCCAACTGGAAGCGAGACACAATTTTTATCTTCATTTTCAACATCAGCTCCACTTGTTTTTGACAAATCAGAACTGCTGACTGGAAGAAGATTGGTTGATGTGGAGGTAAGGTCAGAAAACCCAGAAGAAGCTTTGTGATTGACCCTAACCTCACAGACGGTACTTCATCTGGTTCCCTCGAGTCGGATCGCAAAACAACGTTTTGCTTCTCTGAATTTTTACAACAAAGTAGGAAAACAAAAAGCAGTGAGAAACAGAACTAGAGCTGAACTGAATTTATGGAAGTTTGGAAGTACAAACAGTTTAGCCCTCTGGGGTCCATGGACGCGTATACGCATCTTTGCAACAGGTCTGATTTGGGACGCTGTAGCAGCAAGACTCCGCCTCCCTGAGTTTCGGTTTCAATTCAGCTTTAAAAAGGAGATTATAAACTACACCCAGTTTTTTTATTTTGTTAACAGGCAACGTAAAAGCGGAGTTATACTAAACTAAAAAACGACCTATTTTTAGACAATCTGATAACTTGTCAAAACAGCAGTTTAGTAATCCGTGAGAGGGAATGTGCTTGTGAACATAAAAAACCCACAAAAACATGAGATCCTTTTGCTGTTGGTGGAAGTCTCACATATTCAATTGATAAAAAGCATCATTATGTAGCTGAGAGAGAGAGGAAAGAGTTTAGGAAAACTCTAAATTAGTCAAAACGGCAAATTACACCCTGGACCCCAGAGGGTTAATACAATTCACAGTTTTACCTCATCAAGCAGTGTTAAATAAAACAAATAAAAAATGGTTTATTGTGACACAGTGTTTGAAAATATTTAGATTTTAAACTCTTACTGAAATAAAAATCCATTACAAAGAATAATAGCTTACTGCCTTTGTGTGCTTACCTGTAATCTTGTTATTGTTGTTAAGGTAGCGCGACTCGGGTTGCGAATGACCACAGTCACCAATTCTTGTCTGATCTCTGAATTGTGTGTACTGAAACTCTAATTTCCCTCTGGGATTAATAAAGGATTGACTGATTGATTATTGTTTCTTCCTTTTCTCTAAATATTGGTACTGCTGTAGCAAGTGAATTTCCCCACCATGGGATCAGTGTAGTTTATTCTATTCTATTTATACTTCCCTTGTGAATTACACTGAGTTTTGACATAAAGGAACCTCATTGTGCTGATAATATAACCTTCTTTTTGAGCTGCTGGTCTCTCACCTTGTTGAAGAGGTGAACTGGAGCAGCCACAGACTTGGTCTCCCTCAGATATTCGAACCACCTGAAGGGAAGGTTGCTGTAACCTGACAAACACCAAGAGATGTTTTTTATAAATCAATCATTACCTAACCCTGACCCTAACCATCTGCAGCTTCAGACCTAAAAAATTAGATAAATTACTTCACTTTAAAAACCAAAATCCCAAATATCCTTCCAGGGTTTCTACAAAACCTCTCGGTTACTCAGAACACAGTTCTTCTGCTGTAAAAACACCCTGACTCTCCAGACATTGTTTCTCCCATATTGTTCACATCTGGGTGTTAAATCCTCCCGCTGTCAGTTTGCAGTACCTCTGGGCGGAGTCAGATCGATGCTGTTGATCTCACAGAAGCCTGCGGGGAAGATGGACGGAGAGGTTGAGTGATAGCAGAACCAGTCCGAACCATCCGCAGCTTCAGAGCCATCAATGCCAATCATCAAATACCCGTCTGCCAGGACCTGATGGACAAAGGAGACAGGCTCCATTGAGCTGATGCTGTTCCAGGTTCTAGTTTAAATCTGAAGAACTTGCTCACCTTTCTTACTGTGGCTACGCAGATGGCAGACAGATTCAGAGGGTCAATAGCTTCCAGCTTCATCCCGTCCTCAAACCAGGGTCCGCTCTGATCCACCTCCTTCACCTAGCACAGGGTCAGAACCATGAATCAGGGCTGGGGGTCATGTTAAACTACCCGCAGTGGCAAACAACACTCTGGTGGAGACTTAAGGTCTCATTGACGATAGAAGCACAACAAACACACATTTGTGAGATTTAAAATGAATTCAAATGTTTAAAATCGGATGAGTTTCAGTTTGTTAACATTTGAAAACATCTAATAAAACAGGAAGCTGATTCTCTTTCACACCAAAAACAGATGACATGAGCTAGAATATCAATGTTGTGGGACTAGAAACCAGAGGCCTCATGTGCAAAGGCACGTCTAACATGATGCTTAACAATCATCTGCCACATCTAGAGTCCTAAACTCAAAGTCCCTGAAGTTTCTCTTCACCCCAGTGCATAAACAGGATACTTGATCATACAGGGAGGAAACTCAAACCTGAAGGACCTAACAGCACCTGTCAGCCTATTTAAATGGTGACATGCAGGAGTCTGGTGCTCACTCATGTGACTAGATTCAACATTTAACACGCTCCAAGGGAAGTGTTCTTGACCTGATGCAGGACAACAGATCGTTTCCTCAGTTTGAGCATGAGCAGTTTGAGGTCAGAAACCCAAGTGGTGGATCATGTGATCAGGTAATTCTCACCTTGGCAAACAGCTGTCCAGGTGCGTCCATCTGCCCATCCAACTTCTTTGTCACATCTAAAAACACGCACGCACGCACGCACGCACGCACGCACGCACGCACGCACGCACGCACGCACGCACACACACACACACACACACACACACACACACACACACACACACACACACACACACACACACACACACACACACACACACACACAGCTTTTATCCTCAGTCTTAATCGTCCTCACACCTGTTCAGGTTCTCTGCTGTTTAGATTCTGACTCACCTGACCGTTTGAAGCGGTGCCCGATGGACCGGGACCAGCCGATGCTGTGGATCAAAGGGCTGTACATGTGACACCAGAAGTCGTCCGTCCCATCATCGCATTCTTCGTACACAAGTCGCAAGCGACCGCCGATCACCTGCAGCAGCATCACAGTCAGAAGGAGGAACACACACCAGGACAGATGTTCAAACACACACTCACCTGTTCAACCAGAGCCACACGGGTCCGACACAGGTGGGTCTTATCCACCACCTCCACCCTCATCTGCTTCTTAAAGGGAAAATGCATGCTCTCCTTTACCTGTGGGGTGAGGAGGACACATCTGTGAGTTATGTCTGAACCTATAGACCTCCTGAGAACCCACCACAAACGGTCTCCATCAGCAGAATCTGACAAGAGTCTAAAATCACTAACAGATCAAATCTGGTTCTGATCAAACAGACTGATGCTAACCACAGATAATCCCAGAAACCCATGACCTTCCCTCAGCACACAACCGGAAAATCTGAGACACCCCCAGAACCAAGGCCCAACAGAACCAGTGCTGTAATAGTAGGCAGTATCTATGTGTGTGTATCACCTTGGTTGAGAAGTCCAGTGGTAGAGTTTTAGATCCAGTCAGTCTCTTGATGAGAAAACTCTTCCAGTTGGTGGACCTATGCAGGAGACCTGAGGACACAAAGTACCTCATCACACCTGGTCTGATGGTGTTGGTGCACGCACGCACGCACGCACACGCACACACACACACACACAAGCTGTTTTTACAGGACTATAGCGTTTTCAAAACGAGATTTGCCGCGGCTCCCTGGGGAGGATAAAGATCGTTTATAAGATCAGACCGTGGCGGTAATGTGGCGCAATCGTGGCAATTTTATAAAAGATTAGGTGATGGCGGCATAAAGGGGGTACGGGGGTGGTCTCTGCGCTGCCGCAGACTTCCGTTTATCTTGGACATAACTTGCTTTTTATTGCGATTGAAGCTGTGATCGTTAAGTTTTTTTTTAACAAGAAGCTCCTAAAGGTGTCTGTCCCCATCAGTCCCTGTGCAGTCTCTGGTGATCTGAGCTTCAGCTCTAACAGAGAGGCTCATGGAGCACTGCTGCGCTCCAGTTTGTCGTCTCAGCTGATTTTGTTCAAAATGCAAACCTTTTTGCCTTTGTTTACTTTCATTTTCAATAAATTTGCCAGCCAGAGCTCAGCAATGACTCCCCACTTCATCATGACATCTGCCTCTGTTGTGCCAGGGCGCATACGACGGACCATTACCGCAATATTATTACCAAGCGAGGCGGAACGAATGCCGCAAAAGGTAATATTACGCCGATTTGCCGGCATGGTGTGTCTTGTAAAAAGGGCTACAGTCTCTGCATCCTGGTGTGGACCCTTCACTGACGTCCACTGATTTTTGTGATTCCACTATGCCTAACCCAAACCTGAACCCTAACCAATGCTGCTCTATTTCTAACCCTGATCTAAACCTAAGCTTAATTCACACCAACACCGTAACAGATCACTGCACAAGGGAGAATCATATAATGGACTGGGACAGAACAAGGATCATAAACACAGAACAACAAAAACGATGGGGTCTACACATTGGACCACACATGGGACTGTGTCATCGGTGAGGTGAGTGCGGGCAGCAGAGGGCGACACCCACCTCTGCTGCCCGCAGATAAACGGAGAAGGAAATGACGCCGCCAACAGCGGCTAGCTCTGAAGAAGACCATGGTAGTGGTGGAAACGTCACCAAAAATGGTAAAACAACTTTTTTCTGTGTTAAAAAAGAACAAAGTAAAGCATATTTTAAAATCATTTTCTTGTGCCAGTAGGAGCTAAAATGACTGTTTATAAGGGAACAAATAATCCCTCAGCTCCATCTGCTCCTTGTAGGTAAAATACCATGTTTGGTACCAGACCCTTTGGACATAAAGACCAGGGGCCTCATTTATAAAGCTTGCTTACGCACAAAACAGGGTTGTAAAACTGCGTAAGCAACTTTACACGCAAACTTTGAGATTTATAAAAGAAAACGTAGCGGGAAAATGTGAGCAAACTTAAGTTGACTAAGGACCTGGCTTACCCACATTTTGGACATGGAGAGCAGCTGCAGTGCTGCTGCTGAGAAGGATACAATTATGAGTTTCAGCAGCATTATCACATGTACTGCTTCGTGTGCACACAGAACAAGTCATCGTCCCCCCCCCCGGCGCCCCATAGACTTAAGTACAGTTTTCTTGCTGAGCTTAAGTACGGTTTTAATAAGGATTCTACGCACTGTTTTATAAATGAGACCCCTGATCTTGGGTTTGTAGGAGTTATCCTGGTCTGTCCAGTTGGATGTGTGTTCTCTTGTTGGGCTGAAAGCAGAACCGGGTCTTACTCAGAGGGGGGACCAGAGGTTTTCCTCCAGCTGCACACCAGCCAACAGGATGGATGTCAGGAACACACAGATTCAGCCAGAAGTCTCTGGTGGCGTCGCTGTCGAAGCCCTCATAACGCAGCAGGGCCCTAAAACCTGCAGACACATAATCAGAGACACAAATGAGCAACACAACAAAACAATCATTCTGGGTTGGAAGACGAGGAAAGAGGTGGGTCTTTGTTAAAGTTTCCAGTAAAGAGCTTGGGAGCAGCAACAGCGAAGACCCCGTTTCCTCTGACCTACAGCTGTGTTGCTGGCTGGTCCAGGACCAGCTGGTCTGATTATCAGAGCTGATGAGAAGGGGAGGGAGACTGGGGTGAGAGCATCTAGAGCCAGGAGGAAAAAGTCAGGTTCCCTCACACAGAGGAGTTCCAGTCGGCTGGAGCTGAATAAATCCTGGATGATGATGATTAACAACAGGGAGGAATGTGCTAAAGTGATGAGCTAATGGCACCAACCATGTGTGTGTGTGTGTGTGTGCACATACCAGCCAGTTTGATGATGGAGGCGATCCAGTAAACTTTCATAGGAAGTCCACTGTCAGTGTTTGGGACCTCAACTCGAACTCCTTCACTGATGTCACCCCACGACTTCCCCATTGGGACCTGTACGTACACACACACACACACACGCACACACACACACACACACACACACACACACACACACACACACACACACACACACACACACACACACACACACACACACACACACACACACACACACACATCCTGACTACATGAAATAATAAACCAAACATGAAATTCCTGTTTCAATAAGCTCCGCCCTCTGTGGTAGCCACACTCCTGCCGCTCTAGTGCCTGTTCAGGTTGGACTCACGTGTTTGAAGCAGCTGACCGGCGCTCCCGACACTTCGCCCTCTCCGAGGTAATGACCCCAGTCGAACCCGTCGACAGATACTGCAGGAGATAAAACCAGAACCTGAGAGCTGAAACAGGAAGCAGACTATTCTGATTAGATCTTGATGTAAACAGGAAGTTCTCATCAGCTGGAGAACAGCTGCATTCCTGTCTCATCTGAGCTGCAGTTGATTCATCTTCTATTTATTTAAAAAAAAATTTAAACAAAATATTTAAAATAACATCTACAGTCAGATGAAAGAGGTCAGTTTCAGGTTCAGACAGTTTCCTTTGATGAAAATTTTAAATTAATGAGTTTTCTTATCTGATTCACGTCAGATGTTTTGTTTCTCAGAAGGTTGGAAAATGTATTTTCTTTAACTAGTGTTTGGTAAATTTTTAGCTGCAGCCTTTTATTGTCCACCACAGAGCTGATGCTGTAACTACACAGCGAGTCCTCAGACACCAGGAACCTAGTGTGCGTCAGACAGGTATGAACTCACTGCTCTTCCTGGCACCGCTTTGCTGACTGGCTGGTTGTTGGCTGTAAGCAGCCAGTTTGGTCATCAGAGGCTGCTTCTGCAGAACCTTAGCCTTCTTTGTAGGCGGCTTCCCCTTAAAAACACAGACAGGCAGACCAGAGGAACTTGAAGACACATGTGTCTCAAGGTTCTCACATTTGTTCTAAACCTAGTCGGTTATGGAGGACATGTCCTGCTCAAATCAAGAATAAAGATGGAGATGATAGAGGACTAAGATGAAGATAATTCGTTTTCCTCCGCCCATCCGGGTCCGGGTTGCAGGGTGGGCATCTCAAGTGGGGAATCCCAGACAGCCCTTGTTGGGTATTTTGACGTATTACTGTTTTAAATGCTCCTCTTTAAGTCATCATATGTGCTGGCTGTCAGTCATACATTAAGAGTCAGCTTTTGGCTTTCAGCAGACAACTCTGTAACTTGAGTAGGTCCCGCCTTAGAAGTGCTGTCATTGGTTAACTGTGAACAGTGATGAATGGTTCTTTGTCATTTTTCCCTGTCCTTCAATAAAACTGACTGTGGAGCAGAGACCAGGCAGAGTTGATATGACGGAGACCCGGAGAGGCTTCTGGCATGTCTCCTCTCCGCTGTCTGACAACGCAGCGTAAAACCTTCTGACTCCTCTCCTGTGTGTGGTGCGTTTCAGGGTTAAGGTTCAGGATTTAAAAATAACCCAACAGCCCTCTCCTGGGCCACCTCCACCAGCTCCTCCAGCAGGACCCCAAGGCTTTCCTGGGCCAGACTGGAGATGCATATGCTCCAGTGTGTCCTGGATGTCACGACCACATCTGGATCCTAAAACTGTGATGACAGAGTCAAAGCCATCTTCATGCACACACAAACACAAGAGTCTTGTATTTGGGTCCTACCTGCAGCCGGGCCAGTATGCTGGCCTTCTTCGAGTTGGACGAGTAACTTCTGGAGCAGGAGACGCTGCAGAAGCGTTTGGTTTTACTGTAGAAGGCATCTCTGACACCGACCATCCCGCACATCTCACAGGTCGCTAAGGGGTAGGAGACACAGAGACTAAAGGGATGTGTATTCAGGTGACAACCAATGAGATGCAACATACCTAGGATGAAGGAAACTAAACATAAATCCTGCCCAAACCAGTCAAATACCTGCTCTAACCCGGCATAACCTGGCATTTAAAGCATCCTAATATAATTGGCCTGAACAAATTCAAAACAGATGCAAACCAGATCAAAATTAGTCAAACACTACATCTAAATCTGTCCATAACCAGGCCTGAACTAGTCAAAGCCAGTACTAAAACAGTACAACTCCAGGTCTAAAACTGTCCTAATCCAATCCAAAAACTAACCACTAAACAAACAAACAAACAAAAAAGAGTCCAAAAGTGAATCCAACCATTTCTGCCTCTCTACACAGACAGAAAGTCTAGTGAGTCTGTAGATCAAACCTAAAACCCGGTTAATCCAGCTGGGTTCCTAACAAAATCCACACAGCTGGACTTTAACATGGCTCTGATTGAAACATGGTTTTAGTCCAGGGTATCTGTAGGTTTAAGGGAGCCACATTTAAGACTTTTTAAGACCTTTTTAAGGCAACTTTGACCAAATGTAAGCTTTTTTTTTTTAATTTAATTTAAGCTATAATTTCCAGCTATTGCCTGGATCCGGTGCTAACCACGTCGTGAACGTGGGATTAGCTATCCAGTTACCATTAATGTTGCACCTCGCCATGGTGCAAACTCCCACTAGCATGCTCATCTAAAAATAGCCCCCTTTCACAACCAACCGAATGTGTATGGTTCCGCTTACGCCAATATCATACACAAAAAATGCTGACCACTAACTAGAAATTCACGAGAATTTTATAGAAATAAAAGAATCTTGTTTATTGGGTCTTTGGTAATTTAAGACCTTTGGAAACTATTTAAGGTTTATCTGTCATTTTTAAGGATTTTTAAGGCCTTAAATTTGGAAAAGCAAATTTAAAACTTTTTAAGACTTTTTAAGGACCTGCAGATACCCTGTAGTCTATAAATCACAGTTTTACTCATAACCAGAAATCACGGGTTACACTGATTTACTCCTAAAATCTGAGGAAAGAGAAGAGGTGACATAAGTTACTGATGCAAAAAAATTAAAAGGTCAAACTTAATGCTAATTTATTGACTGATTGAATTTCTTCAGCAGATTTTTCAGAAATGTGACGTCAGGTTGAGTTTACGGTCTGTCTCACTGACCCATGCCCGTCTTCCCATCGGGGTAGGTGTACACCTGTCCGTTGGTCTTAATGAGCATCAGAGAGGAGGAGGAGGCACAGGAGGAGGGGATGAGCTGAGCTTCCCCTCCTATGAACTCCTCATCATCATCACTGTCCTCTGGGCTAGACGCCCCGCTCGCCCCACTGGAGTCGGTGCTGCAGCTGCTCCGGTCCTCCTCCAGACTGTCCAGCATCCCGAAGGAGTCCTGCCGCTTCCTGGACAGACGATCCACCTGAGAGGTCACATGGGTGGATGTCAGCACACTGTCAGAAAGTTACCAAACATCTGAAATATTTCATAAAACTAAAACTCATTCAAGGACAACTACTGGTCTATTTGTCTCCTCAGCTGCCAGTTTCCTGTGGTTCTGATCGAGCTCTACAGACCTTCTGAGTTATTCTTTAGCCACGTAGTTTCATTTCTGTGGCAGAGAATTCCCAGAGCAATGTTTTTAATCTGATCGCTGAATCATATAAGGTTCAGAACTCAAGGGATGAGCCAGAGTTGTGTCGATGTAACCGAACCGGTGTAAACTGGATATTTTAGGAAGCCTGTCGCAATTTGTTTAATTTATTTGTCATTATTGATTCTATTAACCGAGTCAACAATACACATTTACCACGTGATCTGCAGCTTACGAAACCGATCGGCCGTTAGTTTTAACGTCCTGTCGTGCGTCAGATCTGCTGCACTGCGGTGCCGACAGGCTGCGGGACAACACGCACCAGAGGACCACCGGGACCACGAACAATTAAGATTGTTTTGAGTCCTGACAACAGGACACGGTCTGTGTATCAACACGGGCGGCCGAGCCTCACTCAGCAGCCATCACGCCTTCAATCGGGGCAGGTTTGGTGCAGGTGGCGCCGCGACGTTCCGGTTAAACGGCTGTTTTATGACCGATAGTCGGTGCCGATCTGTCAGTCTGCAGAGACAACCAAAATAAAGGCAGATAAAGCAGCGCTGCTCCAGGAAACGAAGCCTCGGACTTACCGGGTCACCGGGGTTCTCCATCAGGCCGGGTGGCGCACAGGAGGGCGCTCTTAGGTCCGCCACAACCCGCAGAAACACAAATTAAATACGGTGGACATAACACAATACCGTTAATCCGCAAGAGCTTCAGATGCTGGCTGCTGATTGGCTGAAGGCTCCACTTCGCGTGTTGAGTTTAAATGAGACTAAAGCTTACGACACCCCCTGCTGGAGAGAGAATGAACTGCAAAACAGACCGGGGAGTTATTTTTCTAATTATACTATCATATTTACATTTACATTTACATATAACATGTACACACACACACACACACACACACACACACACACACACACACACACATCTATCTATCTATCTATCTATCTATCTATCTATATCTATATCTATATATATATATATATATATATATATATATATATATATATATATATATATATATATATATATATATATATATATATATATATATATATATATATATATATATATGCAGCCATCTGCATCAACTGACTGGGCGTTTGAGAGGACAGAGCAGAAACACAAAAATAAACACCTGAACTGGAGTAGGAATACTTTGTGTTAAACAAAGTAAGAGAGAGAGAATAGTCAGTGGTGCCAGTATGCCAGCTGATGACCCACTTCACATTAATTAAGATAGAGACAAGGGTATTGTTTATAAAAATGAATTTAATTCTGTTTTCCTAACTAATGATTGTACAGGACAAATGAAATGATGGTTGTACAGATAACAGACAATGAATAAAATGGTGGGAAGGAAGCTATATTTGAGCAGAACCTTGTAAGTATCTGAGAGATCTTGTGATGTCTGGGTTGTAAAATCAGTTTGGCTGTATGGTTTAATTATAAGCTGAAATTTATTCGTAAAACCATCCAATATCATTTGTGCTGAGTCTATGAACCCTTGTGTGACTGGCGCTCTCGGCGGTCTGGAAGAAAGGCAGCCAGAGTGGTGATTTACCACAAGTTCTCACCGGGATTAAGATCTGGGGGAATTTCCAGGCCATGGACCCAAAATTTCAACGTTTTGGTCCCCGAGCCACTGAGTTTTCACTTTTGCCTAACGGCACGGTGCTCCATCATGCTGGAAAATGCATTGTTCTTCACCAAACTGTTGTTGGATTGTTGGAAGAAGTTTCTGTCTGAGGGTGTTTTGATACCATTCTTTATTCATGGCTGTATTTTTGGGGCAAATTTGTGAGTGAACCCTCTCCCTTGGATGAGAAGCAACCCCACATATGAATGGTCTCAGGATGTTTTACTGTTGGCATTACGGGACTGATGGCAGTGCTCACGTTTTCTTCTCCGGACAAGCCTTTTTCCAGATGCCCCAAACAATTGGAAAGGGGCTTCATCGGAGAATATGATTTTGCCCCAGTCCTCAGCAGTCCATTCGCCATACTTTTAGCAGAAGATCAATCTGCCCCTGATGTTTTTTTGGAGAGAAGTGGCTTCTTTGCTGCCCTTCTTGACACCAGGCCATCTTCCAAGAGTCTTCACCTCACTGTGTGTGCAGATGCTCTCACACCTGCCTGCTGCCATTCCTGAGCAATCTCTGCACTGGTGGCACTCCAATCCCGCAGCTGAATCCTCGTTAGGAGGCGATCATGGCCCTTGCTGGACTTTTTAGACGCCCTGAAGCCTTCTTAATAAGAATTAAATCTCTTTCTTTGAAGTTCTTGATGATCCTATAAATTGTTGGTTTAGGTGCAATCTTAGTAGCCACAACAACCTTGCCTGTGAAGCCAATTTTGTGTACTGCAATGATGGCTGCACACGTTTCTTTGCAGGTCATCATGGTTAACAATGGAAGAACAATGATTTCAAGGATCATCCTCCTTTTAACATGTCAAGTCTGCCATTCTAACCCAATCGGCCTGACATAATGATCTCCAGCCTTGTGCTCATCAGCATTCTCATCTGAGTTAACAAAACGATTAGTGAAATGATCTCAGCAGGCCCTTTAATGACAGCAATGAAATGCAGTGGAAAGTTTTTTTGGGGATTAAGTTAATTTCCATGGCAAAGAAGGGCTATGCAATTCATCTAATCACTCTTCATAACCTTCTGAAGCAAATGCAAATTGATCTAATAAAAGCTTAAGCAGCAACTTTTCCAATTTACCATATTTGTCCAATCCAATCCACTTTATTTATAAAGCACCAATAAAAAACAACAAGGTGTACCAAAGTGCTGCACAATAAAACATACATACAAAGAAAGAAAGAACACGGTTTGCAGCAATCCTGTAAAAGTCGCAGTAAAAAGAAACAACCAACTCATTGGAAGGCTAAATTAAAAAGGTGAGTCTTCAGACAAGTTTTAAACACAGTATGTCTGTTTTACCTCTAAAGCAGGGGTGTCAAACTCATTTTAGCTCAGGGGCCACATTGATGAAAATCTAGTCCCAAGTGGGCCAGACGGGTAAATAAAAAAAAAAAAACTTAGATTGTTTTCATTGTTTTAATACAATCAATATAAAACAAGGCTGGAGCCTGAGGACAATATATCCAAAATAGTACAAGTACAACACCTGAAGTGTACTTGAAAATTTGAAGAAAAAAAAAATTAATAAATAAAAAAACATTCCTTAGTGATTCTAAGTGCTTACAGATCACATGGCTAGATCAGTTTCATGCAGCACTTAAAGCAGGGATGTCAAATCCTGGTCCTCGAGGGCCGGTATCCAGCACGTTTTTGTTTTAACCTGCTTCAACACACCTGATTTCAATCAGCAGGTGATTAACAGGCTTCTGCAGAGCCTGATGAGCTGCTGCACAGGTGATTCAACCAGCTAATCAAGCGTGTTGAAGCAGAAAAACCACAAAACCTGCTGGTTACCGGCCCTCCAGGACCAGGATTGGACACCCCTGACTTAGGCCCTGTCCACACGTAGCCGGGGATCTGCCAAAACGTAGATATTTTCCTACGTTTTGGCCTGTCATCCACACGAAAACGGAGTTTTTTCACACGAAAACGGATCTTTTTAAAAACTCAGGCCAAAGTGAAGATCTGCGTTTTCTCCGTTTTGGGTGTCTGCGTGTGGACAGACAAAACCGGAGTTTTAAGGTCCGCAACGTCACTTTCCGTGACAAAAAAATGCTGACATCACGTGTGCGACCTGTGTTTACACTAGCCGGCATCACGGAAGCTTTCAGAGCTGCGCTCTGTCACTACCCGATCCATCAATTGTCCAAGCGCTTTCTGCTTGTTTGTTTTTGCAAGCGGAATTACTGCTCCTTGTGGAAGACCACAGACGAAGGACGAGGTTACGAACGGGGGAAGTACTGCCGCCTACAGGTCTGGCATGTCCTTAACAACGTATTTATCCGGGTACGTGTGGACAAAGTTTGTTTTTAAAACGCGGTGGTGTGGATGCAAGTTTTTGGAGGGGCGGATATTCGTTTTCAAAAAACCCCGGCTACGTGTGGACTAGGCCTTAAAGTATATTTGACTCATTTTACTTTACATCTTTTAGCTTTCACCAGCGCATCAATATCAGGAGTCACATCCTGGGTGGCGGCCAACTTCAGGATGTGATTCAAGTTCTTGTGTGAGCCTTGAGCGCAGCTTTGTTTTATTTATACTCGTTACAGAGAAAACTTGCTCACAAAGATAAGTTTATTTTCACTCTACATTGTAAAGTATGAAAATAAAGTTTACACAACCATCTCGGGGGCCGGAGTTAACCCGTTTGCGGGCCGCATATTTGACCCCCTGCTCTATAGGGAGAGCATTCCATATCCTGGAACCAATCATCGAAAAGGCTCCTCTGCTCTTACGTTTGGTCAGGGGAACCGCGAGTAGGCCACGATCAGTTGACCGAAGAGACCACGCAGGCACTTGAGAAGTCAACAACCCAGACAAATATTGTGGGGGCAAGACCCATTTGGCATTTAAAAGCAAGTAACAAAATTTTAAAATCAATATTTTAGAATATTTGTGTCATTCTCTAAACTTTTGGCCACGACTGTACATATACTTTCATCAGTCACAAGGCAGAGTGCAATACTTTTCCCCGCATACCTCGTCTTGATGTCATTTCTCACAAATTCATTTATTTTAATCAGCGTAGTAAGGATCATATCTGGGTGCTCCAGAGTTTTCACAGCACCAGGGGGCCAGTGAGAACCACAGGTGTGCACTATAAACACTAAAATATAATAAACATGATATGATTGCTTGTTTTAACCAGAGAAGGGCTGAACTACATCCAGAAGAGCTGGTGGTGATTCATCCATTCACAAACACATTCACACACTGATGGTGATGAACTACAATGTAGCCACAGCTGCCCTGGGGCGCACTGACAGAGGCGAGGCTACCGAGCACAGGCGCCACCGGTCCCTCCGACCACCACCAGCAGGCAAGGTGGGTTTAGTGTCTTGCCCAAGGACACAACAGCAGAATTCTCTGTCCGGAGCCGGGATCGAACCTGCAGCCTTCCGATTACTGGACAACCTGCTCAACCTGTTGAGCTACTGCTGCCCCCAAAAAACACACATAGGAAACCAACACACACAGACCTATATCTATTATGGACATCAGAACACCCCACCATACACAAAAATGTCAGTAATCAGAACATTATATCACCGAGCAAACATAATAACAGAAGAAAGAGACTGTAAACAAGAGGACAAACACATACAACATGCTTTAAAGATCTGCAGATACCTGGCATGGGCAATAAACGAAGGAAAACAACAAACAACAACAGAAAGAAAAGAACAACCTAAGCAAAAAACCAGAAACCCAGAAAGACAAGAACCAAAACCAGTGATAACCTTACCATACATTAAAGGCATAACAGAAAAAATAAGAGCAACAATGAAAAAACACAACATAAATACACCAACGAAACCATACACAACAGTTAGAAACAGACTAGTACACCCAAAAGACAAGATACCAGCTGGACATAAATGTGGAGTCATTTACGAAATCCCATGCAAACTCTGCAATAAAACATACATAGGAGAAACCGGACGCCAACTCAACACACGAACAATAGAACATAGAAAGGAGTACGAGAGAGAAACAAGTCGAAAACACACAAGAGCAGCAAGACAAGAAGCAGAAAGCACAATAAAGAAATCAGCCGAAACAGATCACTGCATAAGAGAAAACCATATAAT